GGGGGGGGGGGGGTTGGAGCCGCCTGCGGGAGCTGTGCCAGCGCTGGCTGGAGCCCCAGCGCCGCAGCAAGGAGCACATCCTGGAGCTGGCGGTGCTGGGGCAGTTCCTGGCCGTCCTGCCCTGGGAGATGCGGAGCTGGGAGCGGGCATGCAGCGGCAGCCCTGCGCCGAGGCGGTGGTCCTGGCTGAGGGGTTTCGTGTGGGGCAAGTGGAGAAGGACAAGCTCCAGGCGCCGTCCCCATCTCCATGTGTCTGGGGACACTCCTTCCCACGGCTCTCTCCCAGTCCCTGGGCACTGTAACACATTTGCCTTGTCCCCAGGTCCCCGTGCGTGTCAAGGTTGAGGAAATGTCTTCGGACAAGATGGTGCCCACTGCGGCATTCTTGGAACATCTTAAATCCTGGCTGGCCCAGCGGCAGGCCCTTCGGGAGGCAGGACAGGATGAAACCGCAGAGCCTCAGGACGAGCCCCTTTGGGTCCCCAGGAAGGAGCTCCTGCCCCAGCAGGACCCAGGTAAAGCACTGGATGCAGGGCAGGGCCTGGGTCTGGGGGCCTGAGTGACTGTCCTGCATTTGGGGCGAGAGGCTCAAATCTCTGTCCCTGCGACGCCGTGAGCATTTGTGACCACGTGGCTGGGGTGGGACAGGGCTCTGACCTGCGTGGCTGGGCAGCACTGGGCTGAGGGCCCCGGGCTTTCTCACTGCATGTGTGCAGCACCCAGCAGAAAGATCCCTGAGCTTGGGTGATCCCCGTGGTGCTGCAGTGGTCACATCAATGGTGTAATGGGTGTCCTAACAGTCAGGGGTCTGCTCAGCCCTTTTTCATGCCCCGGTGACCCTCTGTGCCCAAAACAGGGCTGGTGCAGGTGTCGGGGACATGAGTTTCCCCAGTGAGGTTTGGCTGGTACACTTAGCCCAGGCCTGTGTCCTGCTGCAGATTGCCTGAAAACAGAGGAGACCTGGGAGTGGTCAGCTCATGAAGGCTCCTCAGGCTGGTGCCCCAGAGCAGCCCCTTGTCCAGGAGCAGGTAAGGAGCCGTGTTTGCACCTTTTCTAGTAACAGGAGGCATCATCCATCAAAGGAAAATTCTCTCTGCCAGAACATCTTGATGAGGTCAGCGCTCCAAGAGGCCGGGTTTTTGCATTCTCCCAGTGCCCCTGGAAGTCTTTCACACACATTGGAGCAGACAGATCTTGTATTTGCCTTCCCTCTACTTTCAAAATTTGGATGGTGACTCTGCACCAACATCCCTTGAGCTTCTGTTCCAGAGAGCGGTGTCCCTGCAGGCTCTGACATGAAGTGGGTATCACAAAAAATACAAAGTTATCACACTCCCGAGCAGGGACAGAGTTCTTGAGGCTCATCTCCAGCTGCCTGCCTGTGGATGTCTATTAGCAGGAACTGGGGGAATTTGAGTCTTCCTTCTTTCTCCTCTCCCACAAGCTTGTGGCCTCTGGCTGCCTTATTCCCAGGCACGTACAGGTGAACAGCAGGGTTTTCCCCGTGCTGGCAGCACCCGGGTTAACTTGTGCATTCTGTTCCCCACTCAGCAGGTGCAGGGACCCCGAGCAGAGCAGAGATGAAGCTTCGTGAGAAAGGGCCTGTGAACATGAAGCTACAAGAGATTCCCACAGGGGGACTGGTGGAGATGGGCTTTCTGACACCTGTGCCAGGCCAACTGGACAATGGGCAGGGCAGGCCTCCAAAGCAGGGGGAGCGTACGGAGGTGAGCAGGGCACCAGCTTCAGTAGGGATTGGGAGTGCAGTTTGGACAGAGACCAGGTGGAGCCAGTGGTGCGGGGAAAATTTAGGGAATGGAGACAGTTGAAGTGGCAAGAGGAGGCTTCACTGGTGACAGAGTCTGCAACCACACCAAGCTGGCACTATCAGGAACTAGCCAGCAGTGCTGACATTGGAAGTACAGGTGCACCGATATATTGGTCCATGTCGGATCGGCACCAATAAAAGGAAAATATACGTTATCCGCAACTGGGGTTTTTTGACCAGTGTAGCTGATAACGTGACTGATAAATGCTGTGTGCGTGTGCACACTTGCAGCATGCATGTTGCCAGGACTGCAGCCCTGCAGCTTGGAGAGCAGCCTCCGGTCAGTAAGTCTGTGCGGGGAAGGGGGCGTGGAGAAGGGAAGGACATGGTGGGGGGTGGGTTGTAGATCGAGGTCCCATGGAGAGGGAGGGAGTGAGGCTGGGGCTGGGGCTGGGGCTGGGGCAGGGGAAGGCGCTGCCAGCCAGGGTGGGACGCAGGATGCCAGCCAGGGCAGGAGGGAGTGAGTAGATGCAGAATGGCAACCAGGGCAGGAGGGAGGAAGTGGGGCTGGGGCAGGGGAAGGCGCTGCCAGCTGGGGCAGCTTGTCCCGGGGATGCAGGGGAAATTTGGAGTGGGGTTGGCTCCCCATCACTGTGCACACCCCCAGGGGAGGAATGGGGGGGCATGTGCCCCCCAGATTTGTGCGCAGGGTGAGGGCTGGCTGCCCACTGCTGGCTTGAGGCCAGGGGTTGTGCTGGCCTCTTCCTATCGTGGGGGCTGGGCCAGGGCTGCGCTGGAGCGGGCAGGGGCAGGGTGGGTGGCAGCAGCACTGGGAGGTGGAGGTAGAGGGATTTTTGGGGTGGTAGAAGCCCATCCTATAGCCCTCACTTCAAATGCCACCACTGCTCCCCGCCCCGCCCCATCCACCCTCAGCACAGCCCCAAACCCAGCCTTCCTGCTAGAAAGACGCTGGTACAGCCCTTGGCCCCAAGCCTGCAGTGGGCAGCCAGTCCTCACCCTGTGTACAAATTCAGGGGGCTATGCCTCCCGTGCCTCCCCTAGGAGTGAGTGCAGTGGCGGGGAGCCACCCCCCTGGTCCCACACCTCCCAGAATAGCTGCCCGCGGGTCTGGCCCGCGCCCTACCCCACCCCACCTTGGTCTGGCAGCACTTGTTCCTGCCCCATTCCATCCCTCGGCACAAGGGCCTCAATCTGTCTCTGCCGCGCCCCTTCCCTCCCTTCTGACACTTTCCTGCCACAGACTTACCAACTGGACACTGCTCTCCAAGCTGCTGGGCTGCACATCGGCTATTGAATTGGTATTGGTTGATATTCCTGGTTAACCAGCCATCAGTATTGGTCAAAAAATGTTTATCAGTGCACCCCTAATTGGAAGGCTGGGTCAGGATCCATGGAGTCAGAGCTCCCTCCTCTGGAAATGCTCCTTAGGCTGCTTCTGAGAAGTGCTCAGCTAGAAGCTTCTAAGACTGGAAGAACCAAGTAAGAGCTCTCCGGGGACTGGGTGATACCCAGCCAGCACCAGGGAGCACGGGGCAGTGGTCTCTACAGCTGACCCCAGCAAGTTCTCTTGAACATGATTAGGACTTTGGAATTCAGACTTCAGCTGTTGCCAGCAGGATTACTCCAGCACAGGTAGTGACCTGGCAGCTGCATGGGCAGGCAGTTTGGTAGGAGTGAGCAGCACACCTGGGGCTAGACATCTCTGTTAGTCAGAAGTGAGGACAAGGAAGGATATGTTTGCTCCTGACAAACTAGCTGAATTAGAGATGCATAGAATGGGATTTTGTGAGCCTAAGCTCATTTAATCAGATACACTGAGAGGATATGCACAGGACAGACTATCAAGTGTAGAGTGTTTTCTATGCTAAAGAGGGGGAATGGAGGTGGGGAAAGGAGAAAGGTGGGAGGGGGACAGTGCTGGGAGAGGAAAACAAGGAAAGACCCTAAATGAGAATGGTAGAGATGAGGACTGTGGAGGAGACGAGCCGTGTGGGCTGACAGCTATGGTGGTGCCAGGAGCCATGCTTCCCTACCTAACCTGGCTAACACCCAAATCTTTGTATCGCAGAGTAAGTACAGATCAGGGCTGTGGGGGTTTGAGAGAGCTGAAAGAGAAGATGCTGATGGTGTAATACTTGTCACTGCAGCTCTGGGAGGCCTTTGAGGACGTGGCTGTGTACTTCACCCAGAAGGAGTGGGAGCTGCTGGGAGATGAAGACAAGGAGCTTTACCAGGACCAGATGCTGAGGAATTACCAAGCCCTACTTTCCCTGGGTAAAGCTCTGTTCACTGCTTCTTGCTGAAACTCTGAGCTCTGACTTTTGTTGTCATCTCCCTGTTTTTCTAGTCTGATCCGCCTGAACTTTTGGCCAGTGGTTTAAATTCTCTTCCTTCCCACTGCTCCATCAGTGATGAGGCCTTTCTCCTATTTCCTATTTATATATCCTTCTTCATTTGATCCATAGATTCATAGATGCTAGGGTTGGAGATCATTGAGTCCAACCCCCTGCCCTGGGCAGGAAGGAGTGCTGGGGTCAGATGACCCCAGCCAGATGCCTATCCAGCCTTCTCTTAAAGACCCCCCAGGTAGGGAAGAGCACCACCTCTGTGGGAAGCCCGTTCCAAATTCTGGCCACCCTTACCGAGAAGTTTTTCCTGATGTCCAGCCTGAATCTGCTCTCTGTCAGTTTGTTACCGTTGTTCCTTGTTACCCCAAGAGGCGCCCTGGTGAACAGAGCATCCCCGATCCCTTGCTACGGCCCCCAATGAATTTTGTAGGTGGCCACATGATCTCCACTCAGCCTTCTTTTGTGGAGGCTGAAGACAGCCAGGTCCGTAAGTTTGTCTTCATAGGGCTTGGCCTTCAAACCCTTAACCATACAAGTGGGCCACCTCTGGACTCTCTTGGGGTTATCCACATCTTTCTTAAAGTACAGCTCCCAAAACTGGACGAAGTACTCCAACTGCAGCCTGACCAATGCCATGAGAGGCATCACCACCTTGGCTCTATTTGTCATGCACCTGCTGATGCATGATGAAGTGTGGTTAGCTTTGCTGATGATTTTGTCTCTCTGACAACTCATGTTCATCTTGGAGTCCACTATGACTCCGAGATCCGTTTCCGCTGCTGAGAGGGTCATTCCCCAGCCAGTAGGTGTGCTGGATATTTTTATGCCCTAGGTGCAGCACTCTGCACTTGTCCTTGTTGAACTGCCTCCTATTGTGTTCTGCCCACTTTTCCAACCTGTCCAGGTCTGCCTGCAATCGTTCCCTACCCTCTGGCATGTTCGCTTCACCCCACAATTTAATATCATCCACAAATTTGGACAGAGTACACTTCACATCCAGCCACCTTCACTTGAGTCTTCCCCATTCATTTAACTCCTGGTGCTTCCATATTCAGCAGATTCTTGTTTTGCCTTCCCAGCATGTTCCCATCCTCTCAGTTCATTGGACATACAAATTCACTAACACAGAATAATTCCTTGGAGAATTATTTTGATTTTCTCCCTCTCTTGCCTAGTGTTTCCTGTCCAAACACAGGTAGCGAATCCTAGGATGCTCAGTTTGGTGCTATCTAACCCCTCATTCTCCTCCTTTGCTTAACATCCAGCAGAAGTTAATGGAAGTCTTATCAGCCTCTGTTCCTACAACAGATGAATTAAGCATTTTCTCAACTCCTTCTCTAGTGATGCATGTACCCGTGATGGGACCTGGGTACTTCTCACAAGGACTCACTGGAAGCATCTGTCCACATTGCTTCCTAACACCTTCATCTTCGTAGACCAGAGCCTCTGGCTTTGCTGTATTTACTTTGAGACGTGCTGTCAAACTCACTTTGCCGTTCTCAAAAGTTTTCTCCTCTTAAAATCTCCCTGCATATCAATTGCCCATCACTGTGATAAAAAGAAGTGGGCTAGGTAGGGGCAGGGCCTAGTGGAAAACAGTTTTCATTTCCAGAGGATGTCTAATACAGGGGCTTGTTCTGGCTTCAGCACAGGTTTGAGGTACATTACCTTTTACTAGGTCAGTTTGCTTTTCTGGTGCTGCCTTTTCCCTCCATTTCCCCAAAGGACTTCCTTAGGGAAGTGCTCAGATGCTTTTTCTAGCTTAACAAAGAGCATATAAACCATTTTGACATTGTGGGATTTCACATTCTGTAAAATGTAACTCCTTCTGCCTTCCTTTGCCCATATCCTTGACAGTGGGCCTGTCTACACATGTTGCTATGGTGACATTGTTACTGCGCCATGATTTAGTACTTCCTTTTGGAAGTAGTAAATCATGGTGCAGTAACCGCCTGTACTGTGCCGTATGCACGTGCAGTAATTTTTAGCAGCTACTTTGATGTAGCAGTGTGCTATAGCGGGAGCGCATCACTACAGCGAAGTAGCTGCTGGTCATGTGTAGACCCCCATGGCTACTACATTGTCATAATGGTAGCATCACGTGTAGATGTGCCCTCCAAGGATCTTATTTTTAACCCCAGCAGTGTTTGCCAACTTGTGCACGCATGTCGCCTTATGGGATGATTCTCCCGTTGGATGGGAACGTTGCTTTAGTTGCAACTACAGTTCTTATAAAAATATCCTTTCCTGTCTCCTGTTAATGAATTGCCTTCTCCGCCAGGAAAAGTTTCATTGTCAGCAATGTGTCATGCACTTTTTTCATTGCCACAAGTTCTCATTATAAACCTTCTCTGGGAATAAACTCATTTCATCTACTTTGCCTGGAATTACAGAGATAAGATAAATGTTATGCACCCATCAGTGTCCAATTTCTAATAATTTTGGTACCTTGAATCTTTCTGCTTTCAATGACATCACAGATCATTGCATCTCCACTTCGGTCCCTGGTGACTGTGGGTGCCTCTACATGTGAAATCAGTGCATTGCAATAAACTCCGGAGCTGTGAGCGTTTGAGTTACCTTCCCCCAGGTGCAGTGTCTACACGTGCACTTGGGTTCACAGCAGTTTGAGCCATGGCAGTAGCAGTCCTGGGCTGACAGTGGGCACTGCGGTCTGCCCTGGGCTCTGTTGGTGGGGGAGAGGCTGGCTGGGGTGTGAGGGTGCAGAACCTGAGGAGCCCTGTGGCTAGGTGGTGGGCATCTGTCACACTAGCACCCTCGTGCCTCAGGTAGCCCCTGTTACTGTCTACATGTGAGTTTTGGTGCAGTTACTTTGCCCTGAGATAGTACTGTCCCTTACAGTACTTACAGTGGAGTTAATTTACTGCACTGTAATGCCGGTGCACCTGTAGACCATCACACTTCACTGCAGAGATAATTAATCAACTCCGGGATCAAGGGCATGGTGAACTCCGTAGTAAAGATGCACCCTGTTAGTTATGTACTCTGTCTGCGTGGTTGGTGCTCTGTTTCATATGACCATCTGTAACCAGATGGGTGTTCCTGGGGCCACCGTTATGCCTCCTGGTGGTCATTTAACTCCTGTCCTGCTCTGGCTCTAGGG